GAAATACTTGTCCGATATAATGATTTTGACCTATCTTAGTGCTTTCAACAGTCCGTTAGTCGTTTTTCTGCCATAATGAAAATTATGTATTGTTCCAAAACATACCACTGGATAGCCCTTGAAGTTCTCCACAAAGTGAGCTGGTTACAATATCCAGACAGGTGGGGCCTGTCATTAAAGATATTGAAAAGAAACTTTTGGGTGCTATCTAAGCAGTACAGTGTGTCATAATCACAAGAACTCCCTTGTTTTTGACCGTTTAGTAAAAGCTGGAACCAATTTGAATAATGTTTTGAATAGCCCGAAGATTTTTCTATCAGATTAGGTGCATGTCGGCTTTTCATGAGAAAAGTTGATAATAGAGCTTCTGGAAAACCTGCCTGCTGAAAAACCAAGTCCTTAGTTTTTAGCGAGAAAATTTTGCAAACCATATAGCCTGATAAAGCGAAAAATTCTGAGCAAAATAAGACTGCTCCCGGTATTCCGTAGTGCTTTTTCACGCAACTGCAGTCGATTTACCACTAGGCACAAGGGGCGTCAAAGTTACCAAAATATTCCGGTGAAAGAATATTTTCAAAATCATTATATCGGACAAGTATTTCAACTATTGACCCATGTGGGCATATTTCTGAAAGACTTGTTTATCGCTCATTTTGAAGCTCGTGAAATTCACTATTGAATGGTATAACTGTCGTAGTGGCTAGTTGAGAAACGTTGATCACAGGATCCTCATCGTGGAATAAGCTACCCACTTTTCACGGCTTTCCAGACAGTATTTCTAATGTCAAGCTGTCCTGGGACACTTTTGTCACTATCATATATATATGAAATTGTAGCACGGGAAACACAGGACCGTCATCGTTGAACAAAGAAGAGTAGAACTCTGGTTACAGTAAATTCGACCTAGCTTTTTCTCAGAGCAACTCTAAGGTCTGTCGGGTGGCTAGAAATGTTCTCCTGTTTATTCTGCATTAACCATGTATGTGTCGATGGAATTCAAGCAGGGGCCGATTCCATCAAATAATCGCCCCCGTCCTTTACTAGGGGTTGCTACACCTAGAATCGATAGTTTTGCTGATGCAGTATGTAAATATTAGACATGTCGGCGCGTCTCCGACGCTTTAAATATCACCTATAAATATACTCGTTGCACATCCAGTAACGCTTTAAACTGAAAATTGACGGTAATTTTTCAACAAAACCTTGCAGTATCCTCTATCGTTGTTGCTCACAGACTCACATACTCGCATAGCGCTTTATTATAGTAAAGATGTAGAGCCAGTTGTTCTTGTAGAAAGTTTTGCTGTAGTAGAATAACTAAAATGAAAAGTAATCTAAAAATTGTATATCCAAGAAAATAATCATTTTATGTCATTATGTCAATGTTATTTAATTTGACTCATGGTCGAGTAACAGAGTTCATATTTTCTCGTTTATTTTTCTTTACTTTTATTCGTCCTTAAATAAATAATTGGGTCATGAATGACTAAAGCAGAGAAATATGCATGTAGTGACATCACATGATTGCATTCACTTTTGATACATCAAGCATTTTAGTATTTATACATTGAGAAATTATTATGGATAATATCCAACCCACAATACCACAATATAAACGACATACGAAAAGGTAATTAGAACTGAACATTTTAAATTCTTTTTCAGAGCGATGTTAAACTCGAAATCTTAATTGTGCAGAATTTGATTATGTTCAAGCATTAGATAAAGAACAACTCATCATAAACCAAAACAGCCACATAGAGTATATGAAATTAGTATAGATAGATAGATTTATTTTACACCAAGGTAGTATATCATAAAAAGGCACCAAAAAGACTTGTGGCATCCGAAGACACATCGTTATATTCTAAACTAAAAGGTTTCTAAAAAGAATCCCTACTATAACGCATACATTTAGGCGTGCACCAGTTATATAACTGGTGTTAGGGCATCTAGGAAAATTGTTATAACGCGATTATTAAGGATCGTTCAGACTTGCGGAACATCTCATTTTGTAAATAAATGCTTGTTGTATATATTTGCTGAAACAAAAAAAGTTAAAGTTAGTTGTGACAAAACTATGAGCAATTCTTAAATGCCGTAACTGTACTTGATAACTGGTCACCAATTACAACTGTTCAACCTCTTCGGTAATTCGTTAATAACGCTTCTCTCTTTCAACCTTTAATTTTATCTTTCATACAAATGTATAGAACAAACATTTGTCTACAAAATGAGACGTTCTGCAAGTCTGAGCGATTATTAATAACTGGGTTATAACAATTTTTCTTGATACCTCAAAAAACAGTAGGAAATAACTAGTGCATACCTACATACATTGTAAGAGATAACATAAATGTGATACATTTTAAGAGAAAGAGTAGATCTAAATATAGAAATGATTGAAAGCCTAGATGATCTCTTAACATATGCTTAAATATAGATAAAGAAGACTGACATGCTAAAACCGAAGAAAACTCATTCCATTCCTTTGAGCCACGTGGAACGGAAGTGCCGAATCCGGATTTTAGCTTGACACAAGGAAACGCTATTATTATGATATTATGAAGTTGATTATGAAGTTATAATCGAGAACTTTGACGCCTAGTGCAGAAGACGATAGTAAAGATGTTTATCAGGAAGTGGTTGAATTTTAAATTTTTTGGACAAATAAGAAGAGGAACTATTAAAGTCTTGTAAGATAATTCTACTACCGTAGCAAGACGCTGAATTTTGTTCAGAATATCAAGGTGAGCGGTAAAGGTTGAATCATAGATAACATAAGCATATTCGAGCACTAGTCTTACGAGGGAACCTCTCGAGGTGATTAAAAGCTTTTAGACTCAGACTATTTTCATCATGTAGGAAATAGTCAGTAGTGAAAAATCCCAAGTTGATTTGGGCCTATGCACCTTTTTGACGGAGATATGAGTTAATTAATGAAAATGCCGTTAGTAACAATTAATTAATAGCTCACGACCATGATCACCTAGGGGTCGGAAATTTATACTACAGTTGAAGATAGATGTTGTCTACTCACTGCGACACTTTTAGGCTTATAAACCAAAGCTTTTGCAAGATATGAATTTTTTATGATTTAGACAGTTTTTAGTGAAAATTCACCATTGAAAACCTAAAAACTTGTTATCACTTTTTAGATACCTCTATCGACTCAGGAAAGACTTATTTCATTTGGATATAGGTCCCTAGGAGCCGCTGAACTTCTGCAGTGTGAGCAGAGGTATTTAAAAGGTGGTAACAAGTTTTTAGGTTTTCAATGGTGAATTTTCACTAAAACCTGTCTAAATCATAAAAAATTCATATCTTGCAAAAGCTTTAGTTTAGAAGCCTAAAAGTGTCGCAGTGAGTAGACAACATCTATCTTCAACTGTGGTATAAATTTCCGACTCCTAGCTGATCGTGGCCGTGAGCTATTAATTAATTATTATTAATGGCATTTTCATTAATTAACTCATATCTCCGTCAAAAAGGTGCATAGGCCCCAACCAACTTGGGATTTTTCACTACTGACTATTTCCTACATGATGAAAATAGTCTGAGTCTAAAAGCTTTTAATCACCTCGAGAGGTTCCCTCATTAGACAAGTTTTATACAAATGGCAACGTGAAAACTCGGGTGATTCTGGAAAAATTCTGGAAATAGACCTAATGTTTGCCGAGATTTTGTTGAAACATACTCAATGTGAGATTGCTAGGTTAAATTATGCGAGATAATAACACCTGGTAGTTTGAGAGATGAAACGCGCTTAATATTAATGTTTTCTATTGAAAGAGTGAGCGATGAAGGTGTTTTTGTAGAGTTAGAAAATAAAATCCATTGACATTTGTTTATGTTTAATTTTACCTCACATCAAAGAATGCCTATCTTTGATCAATCACTTTTTATTTTCATTCAGTAATCATGACACAATATGGTTTTCTCGATGGTTGGAGTTATGCTATTGGAATTCGGATTGAAAGAATAAATGAAATTATATCAAAATTATTAGAACATAATCCAGTAGAAATTCATCAAACGACTATTGACACATCCACATACAAAGGTTCATTCATCGTAAATAAAGTGTATTTAAGCATTGACAATGAAACTCATCTATTATGTGTTCAATTGAATATTAATTGTAATATTCATGTTGAAACATTATTTGAAGCACAGGACTATGATTTAAATGAAAAAACAGTAAATATAATGACTAATCTTTCATCTTATACTATTGTTCAAACACATAATGGTTCAACATATAATTTCAATCTCAATATTCCGAATATGGATAATTTTTCCATTACATTTGAATGTGATGAAATTGATTCAACAATTACAGTACAATTAATAAATAATGTATTTAAACAATTTTATAATGAAAAAGTGAAACAAAACAAAATTCATATTCGTACATGTAACATTAATCTACCAATTGAAATTATATCTTATATACCTGATTATGCTGAATTTTCTTATATAAAAGATCAAGATTGTTTAGTACTTTTATTTTCTAATAATGGTCAACCAGATTTCCATGTAACTCGTTTATTAGATAACAATATGTTACCATCGAATAGTGACATATTCATTCATGTTAATCATGATATGACTGTTGGTATAATAGCTGCTGTTGTTGAAAATAAACTAAAAATATCAATGGGAAAACAACAACGATATGATGGAAATTGTGATTTAAAATATAATTTATATGAGGGAAGTGTAAATAATATAGCTCCTGGCAGAAATATTGCATATACAAATGGAAATTATTGTCATTTTTGGAATATTGATAATAGTCCATCGATAGATTACAGTTATATTGATGTTTATAATCATAGAGCTACAGTTTATTTACGTTTGAAAATAAAACCATATTGTTTATATAATGGTTATGTTTGGACAACAATTCCATTTTATTTTAAAATTAATTCACAAAATGATAAACAATTTATATTACAACATGATAAACTTATAACGGATTTTGAAATTCATGGTCCAATTGATTTAGATTGGTTTCCAATTAATATAATAATGAAGAAAATAATAAATAAAGTTATCAATGATAATTTACCAATTTTTAATTCAGATAAATTACTTGCTACTTTAGAAAGTGATGATGACGACGATAAACTAGAGATTCATTTTACTAAAATAGATTTTACTGATCAAGGAAACTTTGTAATTGGTCTAAAACTAAACTTTTTATCAGTTAAGAAGATTTTATAAAATGTTCATTTGTCAATTTTTCAGTTTAATATAAATATTGTTTCGTTCATTATTTATCTTGCTGACTTTTGAGCTTCTTAGTTAATTAATAAATTTTCAACTTTCGATCTGCGTTGATGATGATGACAGAAAAAATTGTTTCTTTTTCGACAAAAGGTGCAACATCGAAATTTTGATCATTTTCGGTTCACAGGAGGCTGGTCGTTTGCATTCGTTTTTTCTTCCGGTTCTTTGGCGCAAATATAGCGAATCACATACCATTTGAATCAGCAACTCAAGTGCTACAAAATGCCTGTTTTTTTTTTATGTATCCCGATTGTGATATACAAAACAGCAGATATCCCGATTGGGTTATAGTATCCCGATCGGGATACATTTTCATATTTTATATGTAGATGTACATACATGAGTGATTCTGATAAAAAAAGTACCGTTCGAATGATGTAAATGATCGCAAGCGTATTTGACCGTTATTATGTCGACAGACATTATGTGTTTTTGCCGTGCAAACTTTTTGTTTAGTCATCTTTTTTGCAAAATGTTACGTGATCTAACGAACTACGCTACATAGAAAACTTCTGAAAATGGGAGGATAGTCTCTGGATACTTTAGATTGACAACTGCACGTTCTTTTTTCAAACATAAATCCAGATCCGATGCCATAAACTACACAAGTGGAAGAAAAATGTGTTTTGGACTTAGGTAATTATTGTTAATCTATTGTCCGGCGCCATCATTAGAAACTTACGTACTTTTGCCGCGCTGCACTAAACTAAATAAAAATTGGGCACTAGGTGCAAACTTCCTCAATAAATCCGACAGCAGGTACCTTTTAATTCTATTTTGACTTCTTTTCTGGCGTTGACATAATCCACGTAGTTTTTGCCTAAATTTTATTTTTCTCATCGACGCCTTTTTCTCAACCAATGAAAAAAATAAATTTCAGGCAAAAACCATGTAGATTATGTTGACGCCAGAAAAGAAGTCAAAATAGAATTACAAGGTACCATACCGCTGTCGGATTCATTGGGAAAGTTTACACCTAGCGCCCAATTTTTATTTAGTTTAGTGCAGCGCAGCAAAAGTATCTATTTTTCTAATGGAGCAATTCCATGTGAAGTGTCTCACGGTTTACAAAAGTTTTTCCGCTTCATTTAAAACCTATCTAGTTTTACAGAGCTCATCAAGTTACGTAGGGAACTGTCTTTTCTGACTTCATAGCTGATGCAGAACCAGAGAAAAATGACTTTTGCTCTCCCAGCAAACTTATAAGATTTGGCGTCACTCTCAGTGCGAATTGATCAGCATCGCGATGAATATTACAACCTGTTCTCCCTTTTTTCGACAAGACGCTTAAGGTTACTATTATAGAGTGGAACATGTACTATGTTCTCTAAAACTTTGAAAAATGTTCCATGTAAGGTTCACGCGATATTGAACTTTTTCACCTCTCATGACCACCGTACAAAACTGTTACGTCAGGAAAAAAGAGTAATGGCTGATTAGCCACTAATAATGGTGGCACCATAGTAACAGAGCCTCAGCTACCTTATAAACACTTGAAAAACCAGCTTTATGGGCATAATCGAACTGCAATGCAAGAAAACCTATAAGACGTTGTTTTTATCAAAACCCAAATTTAAAATACTGAGATAAAACACATCCGATCATTTTGCCGGAACAGTAAAAGTCATTTTTCTCTGGTTCTGTATCAGGTATGAAGTCAAAAAAACCAGTTTCTTACGTAACTTGATGAGCTCTATAAAACTAGATTGATCTTAAATGTAGTGGAGAAAGTTGGTGCAATGATGCGACAATTCAGATGGATTTGCCCAATGTTGACGCTTCTGGCAGATTCAGATCAAATACAGTTTGTCGACATCGCAACTTGTGCGCATCGCAATTTTCTTCTTTTGTGCGTTTTTTGCAAAATGTGCAGGGCGAGATCTAGCGAATCACACCACATAGAAAACTTCTGAACACAGGATGATAGTCTCTGGATACTGCAGCCTGCCAAGTGCACGTTTTTGTTTTCAAGCACTGCTGTTATTGTCAAAAAGCAGTTACCTCTAAGCGATTACCTGTTAGGGACCTGTTGTCGTTACCGTTGCATGGCTATTGTACTCCTCCTTTTTATATCATTACATTATATAGTCTGCACTATCAGCTGACAACGTCTATTACGAATAGACCGAATTACTCCTGTTTGCCTTCACAACAGTGGTGTGTACAGGGTGACCCATAAAAAACTTACCCCTTGTTGTAATGGTCTTTCTATAGTCTTAAAATTCCATTTTTGATCCGATTCTGTTTGCGATAGAAAGCGCTGAAAAAAAGCTGCTCAGTAGAACTGATTATATTTTTGAAAAGATTCCACAATAAGTAGATGCTAAAACGATTTATTAAATATGAAGTCTGTGCTGGAACAAAATGAACTTTGCTGTTTTTCAACTTTTCTATAAAAATTCAATAACTCAACGATGAAACGCTAGTTTGATGGTAAATTTTCGGGATGTACTTATGAGTGTTTACAGTAGAAGTAACATATAAATCATTTGGTATTATTGATACTATTACGAAATGTTCACACAACAACAGTATTCCATATTTTGCATAAACAGGTGTGTGGTATGAATTTCACTATTTTACCACTTGAATAAGATTTAATCATGATCGATTATATTCAGTAGATAGAGCTTTTAAATGGTTACAAATTCAATGCTGCATTAATGCTGAAATATGCCGATCTACCACCTGTAATAATATATGACCCGGCATGTACTCAGAAAGTATTTATTGAAAACGTGTGCGGAACCGAACACTTGAAAGGTTCTGGCAGAGTTCGATTTATGAAAAATATGAACCTAACCATTGACAGATTTCACCAAAAGAATCATACTCGTGCAATTTGTAGAAATGGTAAATAATATGAATTTTTACAATTCATGCAGGTTCATTGAACTGTGAGCTATTTTCTCACTGTTCAGAGATGGATTTAGATAATCTCGTACATCAATGTGTGTTCAGTGGCATTCATTCTTCATTATGTGAACAAACCTTTCTGTATCTGTCAAAATTCAAAACAATACTCAGATCATACAACTATCCAAAGGTATATACGATGTATTTAATTCTATTCCATTTAAGGAATTGTGATATTTCTGGTATTTCGTCCGACATTAAACATATGGGATCACATGTCATCCCTAATTCCATACAAACAATGCAGCTGCAAATCTAAGGACATTTGAACACATTCTAAAATGATCGTGTTGAAGTCGACGAACTCCAGTTATTTCTTATCTTAATGATTCAGAACTATGTATTCATCGAACTGCAACTTCTGATGAATATAACATCTTTATGCGCTTTTATTTTACTCGTTATTTTTGCTTGACTTTTTTAATCTCGTTCAAAGTAAATAAAATCAAAAATCTGCAAACAACGATATAGATATGTATGACGTTGCCGACCCAGTCTGAATGATTGTTTGCAACATATCATTCCAAATCGAAGCTTTACGCTGTCGACAAGTATGTGGCTGATAAAAGGCTTTTCTCTTTAAATTGTCACTCATCAGGGTTAGATCGCTCAGGATTAGTGCCACAATTTTCCTTAGCTTAACCAGCATCTGTCACTAAAAAATGCGTATTCTACAACATCGTTTATCTGAAAGAGTGCCTGATTCCATGAGACAGACAATTTCTTACCCATCATAAACGTCACTTCACTCATACCAGAGAAAACACAAATACATATATTAGCTAATAACTACCCAACAGTGCCCCCAGTAACATACCGGTACATACGTCAAACAGCATAAATCACACAAAAACCATAATTACCTAAAATACCATAAATAGCATAACAATCATAACGTCGAGATGGATGACTGTTGAGAAATGTCTTAGTTTTTTCTTAGAATTTTTTTCTAGAAATAAAGTAGAAATCTTCAGAACATATGGATATAAGTTAGATATACTATGGAAAAGAACTCTTAACTCTCAATACTCGTTCGTTATAGAAAATATAAGAAAAACAGAAAACTGTGTAACAGCATCTATAAATAACATAAAATTTCGATACTTCATGAACCAATCTGCATGGGCCCAAATTCAGTTAGGCTTTTTCTTACAATCACACGCCATATCTATCAGCCAAGTATGACCGAGAAAGGTTTTAATCACTTGGCGATGTTCCTTCGTTAGACGTGGTATATGTTGGACTTGGTGTACGTAATACTGATCGTCGCTCCGTTTGAACTTTCCAACGTTTTTCTCAATACAGGTTACCTGCATCTTGAGATTATTTATTGATAACTAAACAAGCGTTCTTTTAAAGTGTACCATATCCATCGATAAATTTTATCAATTAGATCACACAAGGAAGATGTCTAAGACGATCACGAATTCGAATATAGCTTGAATTAACAGCGTTTTACAAAAAGGTCCGTTTTCAATTTCGTGAATGTAAGTCTGCTTTCATTTACTATTGTACACATACTGTTCTTTTGCAACAAAACTCTTCACATCTCCCCACTTTTCGGCATCGCATCGAAGCCATTCACTTTGTCCTAGAGCTTTTATCTCATAGTAAACATTGCCATCAGGTTCAGCGTGGTTGATTATGTCTGTTCTGTGCAAGTCCAAGACTATCTGAAGTCACCTGATATCAGTCGTGGGACTCCAAGAAAGCTGGATAGAAAATACGATTACAAACAGGATGTTTTTCTCTGTACTATCTGACTGCCTTCAGTGGAAAGAGCGTAAACGACAAAATGCACATTTCAGTTATGTCTTTTAAACACAAACTCAATTTGGTATTTTGGTGTATGAGTAGTATATGTGCCGTATTCTTTTCGATATTAATACTGGTGTTCCTGCTCGTCGTAACGTCACAATTTAGAAAATTCGCTTAAAAATGGGTAACTTGATAATGAGTACACTTTGCACCAACCAGCAGAAACAAGAATTACGCAGATAGTGAACCATGGAACTTTT